TTTTCTTACGAGCCTCTTATAAAAATCTTATAAGATTCTTATAAGACACTTACGACTGTCGATGGGAAATCTTAAACAATCTTATATAAGAAACTGATAAGATTCTTATAAGAATCCTATCAGTTTTAGCAAAAAATTCTTCTCTAGGGATTCGGATTGATAAACGAGAAGAAGCTATCAAAAATATCGATCTTCACAAAATCAAAAGAATTTGAATATCTTTTCACTTGGTGAAAAGAGTTTGAAATGACGGAAAATATGGAAGACACAAAGAACGACTGAGCTCTTTTTTCGATTGCTTGGAAGTAAGAAACCAATCAATATTCGTGGAAATTGAAATTGTAGAAGAGCGACACCTATTGATGCTTTCCAGAATCCTGCGCGGGCGATGGACAAATTCGGCCACCCGCCCGTCCCGTACAGGGTTTGCTACCCCGCCCGCCCGTAGCCATGGAGCCCCGCGGGGCATAACCCGTGGATTGCACGTCTGTGGTTTGTACCTTATAAAGCAATCTTAATCTTTGCTATTTATACAGGATCATTGTGTGAATAGACAACACTTTTATAAACTATAGCTGGGGACATAGATCTACGAAACAATGATGCTTCTAGAACAGGTCTACCAGCAAAGGTACACTGCGGCGTACCTTTCGAGTGGAAAAGTCCGTGCTTGCCATGTTAAAAATCTAAATAGTCAGATATCGATCTAAATTCACGTAGATGTAGAACACGGGTCTCTCCACAACCTGGCGCAAGTTCGAGACCTCCATCGACTGCGGTTCAGAGGCTACAAGGAATCTCCGGTGACCTACCTATCGGCTAAATCTGGAGTCTGGAAACCCTAAAATTACAGCAGATTTTCGGACACAGAAAATCTCATGGTTTTGTGTTTTTTGTAGTCCGGATTACCATAACTTCGGAACATAATTTTAGTAGTTAAAAAGACTCAAATACCCCTGCTACAAAACATATTGTGAACTGACTATACTTTACTTACTGAGCGTTACTCAACGCATAAGCGCGCCGGGTAACTTTTTCTAGGGAAGTCCAAAAATTTTTCATATGGAAAACGTGTAAGCTTATTTAACACTTATAGACTAATAGCACTGCTTTTAAGACACGCGGTCTTTTACCGGTTATAACATGGAAAGTCTGTTAGATCAGTCGAGTTCTCACTTCGCCGTTCTAAGAGTACAGAAGAAATTTATGAGCGGCACAGTTACTGATAGGGCAAGGAATACTGCTGCATACAATCACAGTAGTTCGTATGTAACTCTCTACTTGGTCGTCAAGGCGCTTTTTACTTCGATATTGCTTGGTCTGTACCAAGAAAGAATGATCACTTTATTTTACGAGAAAAGTAAAGTTCTTTCTTTTGTTTCTGTTAATACACAATCAGTATATAAAGCCTTTATAGCTTACTTTTTTCCTATGCAACAATACTTCAAAAAAACGAAGTAATCAATCATTCGTTTGTCTTTGTACTGTGTGCACCTTCATTACTACCTTTTAAGAGAAAAAGATTCTTTTTCTTCCATTTCAATATCATATTCTTGATGCTAAAAGGTCACATGTGGATAAGAACTATCCACGTGTGACTTCTTACCATGGGCATATATGCTTATATATATATAAACGGAAAAAGATCAAACTCATTTGATTGTATACATAGTTTTCTCACAAACACTACAAATCATTATTTCCCGTTATTGCATATGATGTGAAACTACCCAAGTCATTCTTGCCCGATCGGAACCGGCCGGTTCTTTGTATGTTCCGGCGTGTTCCTTGCAACTGGATTCCGACTGACTATTCCTGCGGCCAGTTCCGTTCTGTTTCCGACATATTTCAGCCGGTTCCAGTCGAAAAAGTCGTCGGTATTTTCGGAGCCGGAAACCCGACGGAATCCGGTGGTAGGAGCACGCCGGAACATAAAGGAAACGACGACGGAATACAACGAAACCGGTCGGTTCCGCGACGGTTCCGGAGGCCGGAACGAGCGACCTGGGTAATATTATTATTCCTCTGATCTTATTCTTATCATTCGTTTCCTTCCATACAAAAAAAGTATGGAACAAAAACGTGGTCACAGCATCTCATCTTTTTAATGTGAACATTTCATGTGCGCGAGAGACGAATGGTATACTAAAGCATAAACACCAGCTTTTGGAAAAGAATGAAGGAAAACAGTATCTACCTATGTTATATTCTCACTTCACCGTTCTAAGAGTACAGAAATTCTAAGAAATTTATGAGTGGCACAGTTACTGATAGGGCAAGGAATACTGCTGCATACAACCACAGTAGTTCGTATGTAACTCTCTACTTGGTCGTCAAGGCGCTTTTTTCTTCGATACTACTTTATCAGTATTAAGAAAGAATGATCGTCTTTTTCTGTGATCGTTCTCACTTGTGCGCTTTTCAGATGATGCAGACCTTGCCATTGAAAAGTTCACATTTCTTTCTTCACATATTCACAACAATTTGCTTCTTCATTTTTCAATTTCCTACACTTTATTTCACGAGAAAAGTAAAATTCTCTCTTTTGTTTCTATGATCACACAACGAGAGTATAATACCTTGAGTACGAATAAAAGGATCGTCAAATTTTTCAGCATGCATCACACATTTTTATTTCTTCTTTTATTTTATTTCTCTTTCGAATGGCGAAAACTGCTAATCTTTAGCTTTTGATACTCTCTATACCATATCCAGTGTTGTTGTCCGTTCGATCGAAATGGTTTATTTTATTCATTTCTGTGTATCGTAAAAAATAAAGTGTGCCCGGGACACAGAGAACTTGGACTTTTTTTGCACGCTGAAAATAGCTTGTTCAGTGTGCCTGTAACACACTGGAATTGCACATATAGCTTGCATAGACAGAACGAGAAAAAAGATCGGAGAAAAGAACAGACATCTAGCAAAATCAAAGATATCTCTTCTCGCACATGCACGACGTAGTCTATATCTTCAAAATATACGTGTCTCTTTTTCTCTATTGCCGTTTGAAGAAAAAGGAAAAGGCAATGCAGCGTTGTTTTCATTCATTATTCTATTCTTTCAATACTTTTTTAAACTTCTCTTCATCTCCAATTTTGCTAGATGTCTAATAATTCTTCCGTTTTTTTCCCTTAGAGAAACACAAGATAAAAATTCAGGTTACACAGTGACAATTTGCACATCATTTTGGACTCAAAACGCACACTTAGGGGAATGCACACCAGCGGGAACAGTTTATTTTTTACAGTGTACGCCATATTTAATAATTCTATAAAATTTAAATTGTTTTTTTCAACTTATCTGAGTCCTTATGGCCCTACAAATCCGTCCGAAAAAGGTTCAATAGTAGTTGTAATCTTCGTTGAAAAGAAGTGAAATAAAGAGCAGTATACAAAATATACTTTGTATCTTATACACACGGCGGAGAGTCAGAACTTGGAAATAGAAGTCCTTACAGCCCCCATAGAGCACAGTCATTCTACAGTTTGTTTCTTATCTTTTTAAAAAATGAGAAATATTGCTTTATGATTTTATTTAATTTTTGACACAAGGGTTTATTTTGATTAAAAATCGTTTTGACGCTGCATTAATAATTTTCATGACAAGAATCTAAGTGTTGAGGCAACTCGAAGAATTTTGCCTGGCTTTCGTTTCAATAATACAAAAAACAGAAGAAAGATATTGTTGTTGTATGCTTAAAAAGATTTGATGACGAAAAAAAAGTTTTCATTTTTTCTATGCAATACTACTTCAAAAAAACTGAATTCTTCCATTCTTTTCCTTTGCACTGTGTTCACCTTTGTTAGTGCTTTTTAAAAGAAAAATTGATTTTTTTCCGTTCGCTTCAACATCATATTCTTTTAAGTATACAAGTAAAATGGGTAATAAACAGTCAAATTTTTAGTCAATGGGATCCAAATCGTTTGTCTCAAGCAACTGGTATTCCACCACAACAATTTTTTGACTTTATGGACTCGTACTGGACTGCACCAAAATTTTTAGTCCTTACTGAGCGCTGATATTTATCTTTAAAGCATAGGTGTCAGAATTCTCACATTTTGGCTAAGTTGAAAATGCATACTGTGGAAAAGTGCATACGTAGTATTCTTTACTCTTTTCCGTCTGTTCAACCTATCTGGTTAAGAATTTCATCGGTAGGGCTGAAAATTATTTTGTGTAGGTAAACCCACATGCTGTACGACAACCATAGATTAACATCTGCTTTCTTGTGAAGAAAGTTTTGATCGAAAAAATCCCGTGTAATCAAAACGACTGTTGGAACAACAAACTGAGGCGGATGAATTTCAATTCATGATCAGCATCAGAAAGTACTTATTATCACGTCTGCTGGGGCGGGAGGCGTTCTCTCGTAAATATTCTCGTTTTTTATTTCAAGACTATTGGATAAAAAAGCGGAAAGGAACAGACGCCTGGACCGAGAGTCAAACACGAGACCTGCTGTGTTGGTTCATCAGATACTCAGGGAAGTGAAAAGGTGTATGCTATCCAATGTTGTAGACGATTCTCTAGGTTTTAAGTAGGGAACAATTCTTTTTACGATCTATTATGGCAAGAAACTGCAAACATTAGTTTTTGCTAATATTTTATTAATAAAAAATGCTGAAATATTTGAAAATATGTCTATGTTAGTAATTAGATGTATATTGTGGATGATTTGCTACATGTTGAACAAAGCGTTCATGGTCATATTGACCGCTACCATTATCGAACTGTAACCATGCTTGTTCCGGATCACCTTGAACACCATAAAAATCATTCATTTTACCAAATACTTGTCTTCCATATTCTGGTGTTATAACACCTTTTTGGTTTGGATTATACTGATCAATTAGAAAGTTTGCACGATCATATGGGGTACTGGTTTGATTTAACATAACATAAGCAGATAAAAATTCTTCGAATGTTAAATGACCTGTTTGATCTCTAAATGAACATTCAGTCATCTCGTAACCAAAAATGAGAGAGAGAGATAGGAAGAACTTACCTATCAAATGCTTTAAATGCTTTATCAGCTACATGATGGCTATGTTTTGTACCTGGAGCTAAAATTTCGTAACAACGACGAAACTCATGCTTATCCATTTTATTATCA